AAGTCGAAGAGTCTACACGGTGGTGAGCCAGCAAGGCAGGTTAGGACGCTTAGCATAGGTTAAGCCTCGGGTTAAATCCTGGGGTTTACCTTCGATTACCCCCTTGCGGCGAGTCAGACTCCGATGGCAAACCGGAGGAGGCAAACATCTCCGGGGAAGTTGCTGTGTTTCGTGTACTCTACGGCTCAGGGTGCGGGGTAATCTGTGATTGATCAACTTGGGGGGGTTTAATTCTTTATGCATACTTGGGAGAAGAAATTAGTCGATTCGTTGGAGACATTCGAAGGATCGCGAAAATTGGAGATTATTTCGAAAATGTAGGCAAGGAAAAAAAAATTTTGATTTTTAAGGACATTTTTCTCATTGTTAGTGATTCTGTCGCTAATTTTTAGCCACAATCCAGAAAATTTAATAGTTTTGAGAAGTTATGATTTTCAAAAATATTTGCCTTAAATTTTGAGTAATTTTTCACTAAAATTTAACAGCAGTTTACTTGAGTTCGGGGGATTATTTCGTTTGAAATGGAGTGCTTGTGCTTCCTGGGACTGAAGCATTTCACTTACAGTCGCGCCCAAAAAAAATTAATAGAAAAACCTAGGGAATTCGCTAGACAGATCTATAGGATTTCTATTAGTTTTTGGCCGTTTCTATTAAAATGTGCAATAGAAAATATTCTATAGAAAAAGTCCATAGATTTCGATTGTTCTATAGAACTTATTCTATTGAGATACCTTCTATAGAGTTTCCCCGACTCAAATTTTCCATTTTTTTAATTCTATTTTTCTTTTCTTTTCATCAAGAAAATCAAACAAAAATACTTGGAAAATTTGAGCCGCGAAAATTCTATAGAAAATATCTGAGTCGAATAAGTTGTATAGAAGAATCGAATTCTATAGAATATTTTCTATTGAACAATGGAATCGACCAAAACCTAATTTTAAGTTCGATAGAAATCCAATAGAATTGTCTCGCGAATTCCCTAGGTTTTTCTATTCAATTTTTTATGCGTGTTCCGGTGATGAAAATTCCGAAGTGTTACGAGAAATTCCAGTCAGCGTTGAAGATTTCTGAAAACCAGGGACAATTCTGGAAAATTTAAGATTAATCCCCGAAAATTACGAGGAATTCCTAAAAATAAAGAAAAATTGTTTCGAAGAAAAAGTGTCAAGGAACTTTTTTTTCTCGAAAATTTCCTGGGCTCCAAAAATATTTCTCGATGCCTCCCTCTAAATCGCTTGATCTCAGAGACATTTGCGCAAGAATTCTCGAATTTTTCCACTCGAGAAGCGTAAAAGTCTTCTCAATTATCAATTTGTCTCCAAAACGAGTGTTTTTCGGAGCAAATGGCACATGTTGTTTTCCGTAGATCACAGAATTCTCTTCAAAAATTAATTTCCGACATTTTCTGCTGAACAATACATACTATTTCGAAGATATTCCTGAGACCCAGTTTTTTCACATCCCATTTCCCCGTCGCAGCCGAATTTTATCAACATTTATTTCTCGGAACCCCTGAGAAAGACGATAGAATGTAGGTAATGAGTATTGTCCTCTTAAAAACCCAAAGAAACTGCTCCAGCATCAAGTAAAAAAGGTGGTTGGGGGCCAATGAATGGGAGGAAAAACGCTTAGAATGAGTATCAGAGGCCAAGTAATGGCCAAAGACAAAGGACAAAATGCTGAGGACTCCTCTTGTTCCAGTCGTCCCCTTCCTCTGATTAAACAAGACTGCATTTGGCAATGTCGAGGCCTGCGGTTGAGTAAAAGAGTTG